GGGGGGGGGGGGGGGGGGGGGGGGGGGTACTCCCGCGTGACCCTCGCTCTTCTTGAGGGCCGCAGAACGAGGAGAGGAGTAGGTGAAAATGGCAGGTTAGTATTGTTCAAGAGGTTGAGGTCGGTGATCGTTGGTGTGCTCGCCGTGCCGGCCGTTTGTGGCTTCGAAGAATGGACACGAATGGAAGCAGTGTGATGGATGCGCGAGCGAGGGGCTGCGATTTCGAGCAGGTTCAGGAGTGTGTTGTTGTGCGGGGGGCATGAACGTGTCCAGGCTTGTCGTTCTGCGACGTTAGATTTGCAAGCTTAGTCCCACACTCGTGTGTCTGGTTTGCGCGAAGTTGTCGGGGGGCCCGCGGATTGTGCTTTTGGACGCACCCGCACTTTCGCCACGTTCGTGAAAGATGCATTTTCCTCCAAATCTGGGTTCGGGGCTCTCTCCCGGCAGCCGTTATTCTTTGTTTCGGCCTCAGCGTTTCTCGCGGTTGTCAGAAGCGCGAGGCGCTCGCGCGAAGCTTGGCAAGCGGTACCACGTTTTTTTCCTCGTGAAGAAGTTTCCATTCACGCATGTTTTATCTGGAAGTTGGGCACGCGCTTTGCGGCCGCTCGCACGTCTGCTTGCTATCCTCCCCTTTGGCCTTTGGAGTTCTTTGCCCCAAACAAACATACGCCCACTCTCTCTCCGGCGGCGAGTTTTTCCTTCGTCGTGTAGGCTATGCATACATGACCGTGTGTTTTGGTCGACGTCTTGACGTGAGGGAAGTCCAACCACTTTTTCGTCGGCTTTCCGCACACCATGCCTACGAACCGCCATCGTCTCCTCGAAACCCATACCTACGCCATTAACCCCCACCCATTGACGCGACGCCACGGCGCTCCCAATCCAGAGAAAGGACGAACATGTGACTGAGGTGATCGGACACAGCAGTCACGTCACGGTGTACGCCTTGGACGTCAGCACCAAGGCTTGGGTGAGAGGCCGGGGGGGGGGTCGCTGTTTTTTTGCCTTGTGGGCCAGGTGTCTTCTGTTTCTTCTTCTTTTTGTGGTGCTTTATTCTGTGTTCCCGCGGTAAAACTGGTCGCCGGTGTGCGTCGATGGCAAGTTGTTTACGGGGGCGAGGGCGGGGTTTTTTCTCACGTCGTTACCACTTCAGGAGCGATGGTTTTCCGGAAGCGACCGCGCGTGCGTAGACGGGGCGGGGGTTCGCATACACCACGAAGCGAACCGGATGTTGTGCGGTTAAACAGTGTTTTCTTCGGCCGTGTTTGTGTCCTTGCGCGCCTTTAGCTAGCCCGGCATAGTCCCCAGTCGGAGTTCTTGGTGGGGCGGGGGGGAATGGGGACCTGTTTCGTCGGGCGTCGGCCTCCCTAACCCATCCTCTGCCGTCCCCGCCGTTGCCGGACGCACATCAAGGCTCTTCCCGGTTGCGAGAGTTTGAGCCGTGTCTTGGTACGCTAATAGCCCTGTCCGAAGCCTTCGTCACCCATGCCGCTTTTTCTTGTGTGGGACCAATGCCGTGCTAGAGCACGAACGCCGGCCCCGCTCCCCCCGATTGTCTTCCAACCTCTCTTGTGTCCTCCACTTGGCATGCTGGGCGCTATCACGCCGCACAACAGTAACGTTTTATCTTTTTGTTGCGCTTGTATTCTTGTATACCATGCGTTTTTGCCAGGAGCGGAAGGGGATGGAGGGGAGCCTTTTCGTCGTCCGGAGAAAAAGTCATCCGCACTTCATGGTGAGGTTTATGAAGGAGGCGTCATGCCGAGTGGTGTGTGCTAGGGTGGTTCGTCGGTCGTGTTGTCGCCATCTCTCTCGTCGTGCGCCACGTTTATTCTTAACCTCAGCAGTTTTTTTGTCTTGCAGAAAGGGCTTCTGTTTTTATGTTGTTGTTTTTACTCTGAAGAGCTTGGCGCCTATAGGCCAGCTCGTGTTTAGTGCTGCTCATCCAACCAATAAACAATTTAATCCCTATGGTCAGTCACAACAACTATGCTATGTGGGATTTCAGTTGAGATGTACTCTAATTCCAGTATGTTAGCCTCTTGCGGCACAGTATCGTGATTCCACGCGCGATTGCCTTGGATCACCATAGGCCCTCTGCGCTTACCTAGGTGTGTGGGATATTGTTTCGCGTTAAGCCGTGAGGCTTTCGATCTTCTCATGTTCAACTTTCGCTTTTGCAGGAGGCACGTCGATTGGTTCTCGGACCACAAAGGGAACATCGGCCTGACTCCCGGTGGCGTTATTGCCCCCACACTCCTCTGTAAGGCCCAATACATGTTCCATTCGTAGTTTTTTCATCCCGTGACCAATATTTCGTCCACACACGACGGTCGGAAAGTTGTGTTGTTCCCAGATTAGGGTATATACAGAGCAAACCTGACCCCCCCCCCACCCCCCGCCTCTTTCTCGCTCTCTCTCTCTCTCTCCCTTCTTCCCTCCCTCCCTCCATCCCCCCCTCGCGATTTCCGCACCACCCTGCGACACCCACCAGATGATGGTCTTGAACCGGCTGGGCTTCGACCACATGTCCCAGGGCATCACGCAGTCCTTCAAGGTGCACAGGCTGGAGGACTACCTCATGTTCTCGTGCAAGACGCCGTGCTACTTCGGAGACAAGCCGTCTCCCAATGGTCACCTCCACGGGGTCTGGTTCCACAGCCCCGACGAGCGCGACCAGATGCAAGCTCTGCTCGAGCGGTGAGAGAGAGAGAGAGAGAGAGAGAGAGAGAGAGAGTGCGCCTCGGGGGTTTCACTCTCATGTTGTGCATCCCTTAGCGGTTAAGACCATTGACCACGCGTCCTCGAGAGGACGGGGCATGGGCGGGGGGGGGGGGGGGGGNGGAGCACGCCGGGTTCTCACCGGACCAGGCTCTCACATCACCAAGCGCGAAGCGCCGTCAGATATTCGGCGAGTCGCATGAAGGATGCCCTGCATCCTGCTAAGGGTGTTCGGCATCTTGTGCTTACTTCCTTGCATACGGATGGCAGGTGCGTATGACTTAATTTATTTTCTGGTCCTTTCACTTCCTGAGACAGTTGTAAGCCCTGTGTAACTGCCTAGAGGGTGCTTGGCCATTTTAACACAACGTGGTGCGATCATCCCCCTTGCGCGGAGTGAGGGTTCTCGACCTCGCACAACATGTTCGACTCGACCACCATTATGGTTGCCGCCAAAAAAAAGAGGTAAAAAAAACCAAACGGTAACCTGGTTGCCGAGTTCACAAAGTGAATTGGCTTGCTTGACAACGTCGTTGCCAAGCGATGAATACCCAATCCCGATGGCAAACACCGAGGGGGGGGCTTGTTTTACAACGTCGTTGCCAAGCGACGAAAACCCAATCCCGATGGCACACACCGATGGGGGGGCTTGTTTTACAACGTCGTTGCCAAGNACACGTTCAATGAATCCGTGCTTTCGACAGGATTGCTATTTTTGACGTTTCCCACCAAAACCTACAATACCAAATCAGTTCACAGCGTGCTCCCTATTACGCAATCGTTTCCCTAGAGGGTAAAACTTTTGGCATAGGTTTTGTTAGTGTAGTTCTGTTCGCGGGGAAACTTGAGCATGTGTTTTGTTTTCGCTCTCAATCGCTTCGGCGCATGTTGTCTTTTGCCTTTTTTGAAGTCCAAAATTGCGTGTGATTTCACCACGCGAAGCATGACCCGTCTTCACGGCTGGGCCGCCGAGCGGTGCGAGCTCGTGTGGGAAGGCGGTGGATTGGGGAGGGGATGGGGGACAGTCATGAAATCGTGGAAAGATCGTGGTATTCATAATTCGGAAGTGGACGTGTGGGATTGTGTATACTCACGCGAGCTGAAACCAGCGCGCGTGCCTCCCTCGTTGTCCGGGTAAAACTCGGCTGTGCTCCGGCCCCATCCCGCTGCTGGGTATGGTTGGCGGTATTCTCGTGCATGTCTCTCTTCGTCTCTTTCCGATTGCGGCAAAGGCTGACGGTTCCCTTGCCCCCCTCCCGTCCCTCGCCCTTCCCGCCTGGCCTCGTGCTCAGCATCATGCAGGTCCAAAACGCCGACGGTGCCAGGAGCAGCGGCAACGGTCCGGCGCCGACGTCCTCGTCCTCTTCCTCGTCGCAGTCGGCGTCCGAAGCCCCCGATCAGCAGCGAGGGTCACAGCAGCAGCAGCAGCAAGCGCAACAGCAGCAGCGGCAGCAGCAGCAGCAGCAGCAGCAGCAGCGGACGCACACCAACGGCAACGGCGGCAGCAGACATGAATCACAACAGCCGCAGGCAGCACCACCACCAGCACCGCCACAAGAACAACACCAGCCTCAACAACAACCACAGGTTCGCAGGCATAACGCTGCGCAGACCCCTGCGTCAGCAGCGGCAGCGGCGGTGTCGCCCCCGCCTGGGCTGTCGCACCCGCAGCAGGCAGGGAGTTCCCGGGCAGGCGTCATTGTGGACAGGATGTCCGGTTCTTCGGCGGCAGCGTCGGTGTCAACATCGGCCGCGTCGGTGGCGATCGCGCCGAACCCCTTGATCCGAACAAGCGCAGATGCGGTGAGTTCTTGGACCCTTTTTGCCGCGTCTTTTGATGCCGACAGGCGAAGGTGATACGCTCACAAATATGCTTGAGTTTTTTTTACTGGCAGTAGACTGGATGTGTTGGGTCGTTGCTCCTCGACCCCTGTTGTTTCGTTCACGTCGATGTCGGTGCTGGCGAGGACTGGCGACCCACAAGGAAAAATGCCGTTATTGAGCGACCTTGGTGGGATGCCGGTACAAGAAGTAGGGGCCACCTTTTTTGAGTCATTTTTTTTTGTAAGGAAGCAAAAATGGGTCAATATGTCACATCGTCCTTTCTCTTGTTCTATGATAGTGTCACCAAGGCCTTTGCGCCGAGCGGAGCTGACTGTCTACGCCCGGTGTCCTTTTCCCCTCTTTCTTACCACGTCAGACTTCGGCCGCAACAGAAATTCTGGTTGCGGCACTGGGTGTGACCCCGTCGACAATGTCATCGACAGCAGCGCTACGGCAACAGCAGCAACAGCAACAGCAGCAGCGACGGCAGCAGCTACAGCAACAGCTACAACAAGCTACCGGCGAAAACGGCGACACCCCCCCCGAAAACGCCGGTCTCCCCCGACCGGTCCACGCCGCCGGCGTCCGTCCCACGAGAGACAGCACCGCCAACACCAATCCCGCGGCAGGCAGATCCACCACGACCGTTACCGCCGCCACCGCCGCCGCCACAGGCTCCCGCTTGCGCGCCCCGNAACACCAATCCCGCGGCAGGCAGATCCACCACGACCGTTACCGCCGCCACCGCCGCCGCCACAGGCTCGCGCTTGCGCGCCCCGCCTCTATCCGCCGCCGCTACCGCCGCCGCGCGGGAGGCGAGCATGCTCCTCACGCCGTCGCAGCTGCTGCTCTCGGCGGAGAACAGGACCACAACCACCAGCAGCGGCAGCCGTACTTCGTCGGCTGCAAGCCAGCGGGGAGGTGATGGCATCAGCAACAGCGGTACTGCCGTGGCTGCTGCTGCGGGCGGTGCAAGGGCAGCGGCGGCGGCGGCGGTGAAACCCAGAAAAAATGGAGATTCCGCGTCCGCAGCGCCAGGGGTAGCGGCCGAGAACTCGGAGGCGAGAGGCGCCGAACGGAGCAGCAAGCCGCATGGTGGTACCGGTGACCGTCAAGTGCAAGGCCAGAACAGCGGCAACTTGGCCGCTGCTGCTCCTGCTGCTCCTGCTGCTGGCGCCGGAAGGCGGCGAGCAAGCGACGCGCCTGCGGGTGCTGGCGCGAAGGCGACCGGGCCTCCTGTCACCGAGAGAAGCCACGGAGGCGGAGGCGGAGGTGGCGGCGGCGGCGGCGGAAACCAGGCAAGCCAGGAAACAGCGGTGGCTCGAAGCGGCGACGGCGGGGCCAGCCGCGGTGGCGATGTGCAACCCGCCGGCCTGTTGGACAAACGAGCGCTCCAGGTAACCCTCATGTCGCTCATGGAAGACGACCGCTTCGTGGACATGCTGCACGCTCGGTACCTGGCGCTCATGAGGAGGCGGGCCAGCCGATGATGGCGGTGTGGTGGCGCCGTGTCCAACGCGCACCATTATGGGCAGCTTTTCCTGCTGCCTCTGTACGTTTATGGTTGTTTCTTCGCTGTTGCCGTTAGTTTCTTGCATCCCCCGGGAAGTCATTGAGGGGGCCCGTCCTATCGCGTTGGAGATGGTTCGGCGAGTAAATGTAGGACAAGGCCTAGAGGTGGTGAAGTCATTGCGAGGATCGTTCGAGCGGGGGGTGGTTCGCAAGCCAAGCGCACGCTCTGTTCGGAGCAATGGTCTAAGGAATCATGCGCGTGTATAGGTCGGCAAGTTCCGGTATCGTGCGTTTGTGCACAAAATATCACCGTGCTCCGAAAAATTACGTTGTGCAGCGTGCGTAGCACCGAATGTGGTGAAAGCCTGGCGCTGATGGCGATAGTTGCTACTCAGCGTTTGAGTTGTATGGAAAGTATTTCATGACGGCGACGTCCGGGAGCATGACGGCAACCTGGTGGGCAGGCAACAAGCGTCTGATGTGCAGTATTGCTGTGGTGATTTGTTGTTTGTGTTGGTACCTTGGAAACTTGCGTGTGATGCTTCGAAGAATGTTGCTGCACACAGCGGTGCCTGATAGTCGACGCCGTGGTGTTCTGCATAGGAGGGGGGGACCAGGCAGCCGGGTGAGTAGGGCAATGGACGCGATTGGACGTACACACACAAGATGTGTTGCTTAGTTTGATTCCGCGCAAGCCTGTGGAGTCGCGATCGACGAACTCACGTTTTCAAACCAGCGACTACACCTTGGTGGGGGGCGAATTTGCGTGTCTCCTATCGTAGAGGGTACCCCGTTGTCGATAGCTATGGCGGAGGTGCGGTTGTGGTAGCTGCTACCATGACGAGCTCCGTCAACGTGGGCTTTGAATGAGTGCGACTTGTTCCGTGCAGATATCGAAGCTCCAGGATACAAGCGCTTACTATCAATGGAGATTATGTTTGCTGATTAAAGCTGGCGTTCATACGACAAAGAGAAGCACCATAGTACTTTTATATTGTGTGTGACATATGTTGCCCACGATTCAAGGCTCACGATAGAAGACGCCCCAATGCTAATGGAAAGCGTGCTAACAGAATGAGAACGAGCGATATCGATCCAACGGGACAGCAAGCAGAGGTCTTCGAGTACACAAAAAGAGAGAGAGAAACGCTGCTCGAAAGTCCCCAGTGGGGTAAGGGATTATTACTCTTGAACTTGTAACAAAGAGAGAGACAATAGGTGCCCGCAGTTTTCTGATTGAACTTTCGGGCCAGAGAAGCTGCAGGAGGCCCACGTGAACTGTCGACGGCTTAACCCTTCGCAAACCACACCGTGATTTGGATTTCCGTTCGTCCAGATATTTTCGAAATTTCGCTCGGAGCTGCACTGCCATGTGCGATTAACGCAGTCTGGTTCAGTTGATCCAGACGCTTCTGCCTTCAATGTACCAGGATACACATGTCTGACTCGCAAGCATGCTACAATACCCCAAAAGAATGTGCGTACTGCTGTGTAGTAATATTCAATGACCATATTCAAATCCCATACCCCATACCCCACTGGGGACTTTCGGGCAGTGTTTCCTGCCGCGACAACTCATCACGACACTTCCGCCCCTCCCCACCCACCCCCTTTCTCCCGCCCCCTCATCTTTGCATTACCGCGAACAACATTCGACTGTAATATCGAAACGCACACACACGTCGTCTCCTCCCCTCTCCCGAGACTGCCGGTAGAGGTACTTTCCATGCAAAGCCCAGCCTACAAACCAACGTCCCTGCTCCGGACTGTCCATTTGGACACGCTTCGCTTTTGGACCGTTTCAGGTGAATTTTTCATGTTTTTCAGATGTTGATACTTTTTCTGTTACAAGTGCAACAGTCTGACACTTAATATCCCGCCACCCCCAGTCCCGCGCACCCGAACAACGCTCGTGAACAGACTAACCCACCTTTGCTTCATCTGTATCTGCGCACATAGACTACTGATACAAACTGTTGAAAGTCGCTGACAAGAAATCGAATGGCTAGGTTACACAGTGTGGACGGAGTTTTCGCAACATCGGGGGGTGATAAAGGAGGAGGAGGGAGGCTTACACCTTCGGCCACTCCCGCGACTGCAGGGACAAACGATTGTAGCATCTACCGAGCACACCTCCTACCTGCTAGCGAGAGGGGGCTGACCGAGCGGCGAGCACGCATCTACTTGCAGCACTCTACCGAATGAAGCTGCATCCACTTTCGTTCCGCAAACAGAACGAACACGGTCGGTCGTCGAGGGACGATGAACGATTTTGGAAGGACTCGCGCCGAACTCGGCCATCTCTAACACCAAGGAGAACATGCAACCAACCGTAGCTCAGAGCCGACCGGAGGGGGTGGTACGTGTGCGGCTGGTTCCCGTGAACTCTATCCCCTTCTAAGAATCCGACCATCTACTATTTCTTCAACCGCAACCAACCCTTCTTGTGTATCCACCGTACAAAACACTTGAAAAAGGTGTTCACAATAATATCTCTAACAGTGGCACCCACACATAGGCATGAATGAAGCGTGCGCATGACACCAACGAAACATACCTCGGAACCAAGGGGTTCGAAGAAGATTTCAACAAGCGCATTGAAGCACCCAATCAATTGGTCAAACACGATCAGGGTAAAATACAATCCAATGGGATATTATTGTGCTTTCCAAGCACCGAACGCCGTACTGGGCAAACAGCACAAACTTTAACAAGAATGGGACACTGAAGGCCGAGAAAAAATACACGCAACACCAATGAAAAGCATACAAATGTTCAAAACAAACATCAAGCCAACTGAAGTGATCTACCGTACTCGAACCTTCGCAAACTTCCCAACATTAGTCTATTATCTTAGCTATCAATGACAAGCAGCACGGGAGGTTGGCATCACATCATCAATGAGAATAAGGTGCATGCTTCATCCTCTCTAATGAGGGTCTAAGTGTGATGCGCCAACGAAAATAGATCCTCACGTCATTTCCATAAAATACATTGCATATAGCTTACGAAAACCAATAACCTTTCGAAGAGCGAGAAGCCGGAAGGGATATGCACTCATTCTTGAACAATGCCACCCTCAAGGAGGAGGCCCACCGTCACCACGGCCGTCGCCTCGACCTACACCCACACGGACGTCAGCGATGCCGCCAGCAACAAGAGCACCGGCATCGGCCCCGCCATCGGCCCTCCCACCGGCCTCGATATCCCCCTCCCGGGAGCGCCGCCGCCGCCCCACACGAATCCCCACAGGAATTCGCATCGCCGCCTCCGGTGGTTGTTGTCGCAGACAACGCGACGAGGGAGAGGGAGAGGAAGAAGAAGACGACGATGACGAGGAGTGGCCACGGTCGTCGCGATCGCGCGGGAAGATAGCCCCCGCCTCCGCTACGCCCTTGGGACCAACGACGCGACTGCTGCCTTGCAGAGCAGCGCGAACGGGATCACCAACGGCGCCGTCATTCCCGGCCTCTTCTGCGATTGTAGCCTCCCCCTCCGGGGTCATTCCCAACGCCGCTGTCCGTCCCTCTTCTACCGATACCGCCCCCGCCGCCGCCGCCGCCGCCGCCACCGCTTCCTCCAACACAACACCTGCGTGGCTTCCCTTCACGGAGCGCAACCGGCGTCGGAACATCGCCCCAACGGCGCTCTCTTTGGCCACGCCCTTACCAGCGACGCCCCTGCGGCTTCCCCTCTTGCACCAGCCGCTATCGACGGAGGGGGCCTTCGCGTGGCCACCTGTAGCCTGAGCTGCAACGCCGCCACCACCCCCGCCATCACTCCCAGCACCGCCGCGGACGCCAACGCTGGCGGCCGTGCTACTACAACGGGAGACGCCTTCTTCGGCTCTGGACACTTGAGGTCCCCCACCCCCCTCTTCGTCGTCCTCCTCCTCCTCGTCCTCCTCCCCCTCCCCCTTCACCCCCCCACCCTCCTCCGATGAGCTTCCGGAATCGACGCCCGGCGTCGAACAACGGCCCGAGCCGTGGGCGATGTGGCCTTGCCGCCATTCCGTTGTCCCTCGCCCCCGCACCTCCCCATCCCCGCCCCGGGGAGATCTCCGTAGAAGACTCTTCGGTAACTGCCCCGGTCTCGGCACCAGCTGGCGGGAGGACCGTTCTTCGTCCCCGGGAATACGCCCGAAGACTCCTACCGGCTTGAGCTGTGACAACCCGCTCCTGGAATGTTTTTCGCGTGCAATGGTTGTAGAAGGGAGGTACTATGATCTTGCCGATCGATGTTACGCGCAAGCTTTGCCTTTTTGGGGTGAAAGAACGGGGCTACTCCGACCTTCGCTACTACAGGAGGTATCTTGCCTTTTTTCTCGGCGGTACTTCGAGTTGAAGATATTCTGTAGGTCGAGGGCTGTTCGTGCCTTCCGTAGCGCCTCATTCCGGATAACATCACGGGCTCAAGGGCGGAGAAAGTCGAATACTGTAAGGGCGTGGTAGTGGCCCAGGGTGAAAGCTGATTGAAATTGCTGATGGTTCGCGCTAGTATCAACAAATAGAATGAACTACTGTCTAAAAGAAAAACAGGGTTTCATCGGTGTTGGGGACATGATGGGAAAAGGGGCTGTACAGCTTTTGACTTCGTGTACAAAGGGAGCGAAAAGCCTTGTACGGGGAAAGAAACGATGGTAACGGGGGGCGGTGAGCAAGGCACCCGTGTGCTCGAGTATTTCTCCCCTCAGGATCGCTCCCCCTCCCTCACGCGCATGTCTGCAGCATGTGCGCCTCTTGTGGATATTCTACACTCATCCGGGACATCCGCCGGTTGGTTTGATTTCCACTAGGTACATACGTGCAGCATCTTGCCTGGTGGTATGGCGAACCATGCGCCAGATGCACTTGTGCATGAACCTTTTCCAGTTAGTCATCTTTCCCCGCCTCGCATACGGGGCCACCAGCACCTGCTAACGCGGGCAACGCGAAGAGTTAATGCCGGAGACTCCCAGACAATGTAGTTAACATGCGGTCGTCATCCGCGCACGCGGTGAACAAAGGATGCTACTCAAAGCAAAGGTCCAGAATAATATGATTCCGTTCCTGGTGTTCCTGGCTGTACGCCACCGCCCGCAGCTTGTCTGCAGGGCAAAAGCTATCTCCAATCTGTGGTCGCAATCAAGGGGTCCTCCCCGTGGGGCCCCTGACGCATCATTGCTGTGGTGCTTGCCTGTGACTATGAACGCGAGAAGATTGCAGCAGTCCCTCAAAGTGTGCAGATGCTGCGCGCACAATATTGGTTGCGTAGACCAAAGGACTATTTATTGTAGTCCATCTTCAACTAAGGATTCCATTCAATGTGTAAATCTGGTGCATCGACACCCACCGGGAATTCGCTCAAGCGAACGAGCTTGTATCCGGTGGTGCTGACGTTGAGGCGAACCGCCCCGAGCCGGACGTACTTGAAAAACACGCCATTGTCCTCAAGGTCCTGACCTTCTTCGCCATTTTTCTCCTGCTGTTCGAGATTGAGCCACATGATGCTTTCCGTACTTACAGCAGTAGTGCCTGGTGTTAATCGTTTCTATTCTGTATTTTGTCACAGCGAACTGGCGGAACATAGGCTACGAACAAACAGCGGCAGCAATGCGACAAGTGCACCTTCCATGTTATCAACGAATCGGGATAACTACCAGGATTCTTCGAACGGGGTGAACCTACCGAAACATATGATCTCACCTGTCCACCAGGCTCCGCCCCCGCTGCTGGTGCCGCCCCCGTTGGCGCCGCGTTGGTGGGGCACGAAAATGATGTCGGTCCAGCTCCTCGCCTCCCGAACAGAAGAAGGGCGTGGCTTTCTTCCGACCCTTGCCGGTCCAACAGAACTGGTGCACCACCGCCACTGACGCTGCCCGCGGCATCACCATCAGCAGCAGCACGTGTGGCGACGAGCGAGCTCGGAGGCGCCGCGTTGCCGTTCCCCCCGCTCGCTCTACTGCTGGTGTTGCTGGCGGCCTTAGGGGATGTTTTTCGGGACGGAAGAAGAAGCCTGCGTCCCTTCGACCTCGACTTGTCCTTGTTCTCCTCCTCTGCCTGGTATAAGTGAGAACAGATGCACTGTCCTCCTTGTTGTTGTTGTTGTTGTTGTTGTTGTTGTTGTTGTTGTTGTTGATGTTGTTGTTGTTGTTGTTGTTGTTGTTGTTGTTGTTGTTGTTGTGCGCACAACAAACGCAAGGACGGCATGACTTTGTTGCAACGGGTTTATCGCCCCCGGTGCGGTGTGAACAATACAAGACCTGCGTAGCTGCCGAGTTGCTCAAGATCGATGGTGACGAACCCTCCGTCCTTGGGCACCTCCATACCATCCTCGTCAAGGTGCGGAACGCTGGAGATATTCTGCGAGAGTGGAAGGATGCAACCATCAACGTGCTGTGGAAGAAGGGTGACCGGTCCAACTGTAACAACTATCTCACGTAGGCAAGGTCCCCATCAAGATCATCACCAACCGTCAAAGCGCCTTCTACGAAGCCAACAACATCCTCCCGGAGGAACAGTGCGGATTTCGACCCGGGCGATCCACCTTCGACATGCTGTTATTCGTCGTGCGCCGCCTCCAGGAGCTGGGGCGGAGAAAGAAAATTCCGCTCTACATGTGCTTCGTCGACTTGAAGAAGGCGTATGATTCGGTGGACCGAGATATGCCATGGAAGGTGTTGGCCAGGGCCGGGATTCCCGCGAAGATGATCAAAATCATCCGCCAATTCCAAGATGGAATGCGGGCGCGGGTGCGCATGGACGACGGAGAACTATCGGGCTGGTTCTTCGTGACACAGGGCGTGCGACAAGGATGTCCCCACTGCTGTTCAACATCTTCTTCGCCAAGCTCCTCGAGGTCGTTGCCATCCTATTCAGCGAGGATTATGTTGTTTTGCGGAGCCTGGTGTGCTTGGAGGAAGGAAAGCCGGAAGCGGGGGGGGGGAGAGGAGACACCCCTTGACCGAGTACGGAGAGCAGTATGAGGGATGCTGTATGCCGATGATGCCGGCGTAGTATCGAGGAACTGGAGAGAATGATGACCATCATCGTTGAGGTGTTTGGGGGGTTCGGGCTGACGGTGTCGGAGAAGAAGACGGGGGCGCTCCTGATGCGCGCGAAGGACAAGCCGACTACAACACCACAGCCCCCCCCCGCCTCCACCGCTGACCATCAAAGCCGCGGGACAGAAATACGCCGAGACGACCGAGTTCCGGTACCTCGGTGGCCTCGTCAACGAACATGGCGACCTCACCCGGGAGATCAACTACATGAGCAGAGGAGCGTGGGCGTGCCTCAGGCGATATGGCCGGGAGCTCTTCGACAGAATGAAAGCGCCATTCCGACTCAAGTTCCGCCTGCTCCAGGCGGAGGCGATGGAGGGACTGCTCTACTGGCTGTACGGCTGCACGACATGATCACCACTCAGCGGCCACTTCCAGACGCTGCGGTTGATACACCACCGACTGCTCCTTCGAGTTATCGGCTACAAGCGCAAGCAAGACACCTACCAGCAGGTTTCCTACGCCCAGACGCCGAAGAGGGTCGGATGCCAGAGCGTCGAAGCCAAGATTCGACAACGATGCCTACTGTTCGTGGGAGCATTGGCAAGGCAGCTGGACGGGCGACTCCCGAAACGACTGATGCTCGGCGAACTGGCGGGGAGGGAGAGGCGACGTAGGGGGGGGCAGGAACAGAAATGGCCGAAGTGTGTACTCGACGACCTTGAAGGCATTCGGGGCCGACCACGAATCTACGAAACCCGATCCACGTTGTCTCGGAATCCCGGCACCGAAGGACATTGCACCCAAGTTATAAAGTGGACGGAAGCCGCAAAGGTGGAGGGGGGAGTACCCTGACATGCGGCGGTTCTGCAGGGAGCTGGGAGGTTCATGACCTCCTGGCACAAGAAGGAAGAAGAGGTCAGTTGACAACGGGCGCTCAAACGAGACCACAAGCCAACAACCAATGGGGCGGGAGGGGGGCAGGAGACGGACGAGACGGCGAGGGAAGAAAGCAAACGACAAGAGACGGACCGAGTGGCGCGATACGTGCCGGATTCTTTTGGCCAATTCCCCCCCCCAACGCTGTACCCATGCATCAACTCCCCACAAGTGATGACGTACCATTACATACAGTGCATCGCTGGTTGGTGGCCATGTTTGCGTGTTTGCTTGTTCGTTAGTGGTCTCTCCACCGTGTGCCTTTTTCTGTCTCTTATTTCTTGTTAATTTCGGCCTGGTCCCTTTTTGTCCTCACTCATTTTCGTTTCTTTTCTCTTCCCTTCCTGTCCCCTTCTCTTTTTCTCTTTTTCTCTTTTTTCTCTTTTAGTCTATCTCTTTTCCCTCTTTTTCTCTTTATTCTCTTTTTTCTGTGTTCAGATGGCCTTGTCTCTGCTTGCGTTGTGAGTACCAAGATTGAACCAAGGGGGTGTACCTCTTTCTCTCTGGCCCGTGATGCTGACTCCTAGTCTCAGTTGTTACCTCGCATAGCGCCCAGAGGGAGCGGAGGACTCCAGAATATCTGTCGTTGATTTCTGTTGACTTGCGGACCCCTCGGGGCCAGTTTATTTCGGCGTACCTTTTCAGGGTAAGTTAGCTTGTGACCACGGGAATCGACCGCGTCAAGTATTGGATCAGAACGGACATTACATACTAAGGTGCTGGGTAGAGAGAGATCGGAACGGTTTTAAATGTGAAGACAAAACAACGACAACAACAACAAGCATAGAATGTAGATTGGACGTTTCCTCAATGTCCCGAAGCGACGCTCCGGTCCATGTTTGGCACTTCATGGAACGGACGGCTGTGAGCGCCGATAGGTATCAACTTGGGCGACAATCCGTTCATGGATATCGTACTGTCGAGGTGTACGTGGAGAAAAAAAGTCGGTACATCAAATGCACACCTAACCAAGCAACTGGGGTTGCCTGCACACCGTAGAAGGGCCAAACTGCCTTGTATTGTTCCGTACCGGGGGGGGGGAGTGTTAGAAAATCGCCCCCGCCTTAAAAAACTCTACTGTAGTTTTGAGGTAGGCCGGGGTGTAGACTACAGTAGGATGCCTCTTGGGCCACATGTAAAAAATGCCCGCTACTTGGATGTCTAGGTACTGCTCAAGTTCTCATGTTCGATACCATGATGAGCATCAAATCCTTAACCGGCAAGCTCTGAGCACGTGATATCTGTGGCTTCCTTTTGGACGATCCGTGCTGCTGGGGATTGGATCGGAGACAGCGCGCGTCAGCAGCGGACGTGGTATGCTGTATGAATACTGCACGACAGAATACATACATCCAGATTATTTGCGGACCTTGCGGACCACAGCCGCAGTCTTCGACAGCACGGCCTCGGCAACAGGCAACGGGTCTGGGCATGCAAAGCGCATGCCGATACTCCATGAAATCTTCTACTGCTGTACAGCAGTGTCCTTGACAGATAGAGTAAAATGGGGTACTAAGCGACACTTAAGCCGCTCCCACGCCAACGGCTCGTTCTCGAGTGAGAGAACGAATTTGAAGTGCATGTAAGCATCCAGCGGTAGCCTATGTCATAGGCTACCTCTCAAAAAAAAAGAAAAAACACCCAAGTGTTGATGAGTTATGGCTGTTGCAGTGTACCTGAAGTTTTACAGTAAAACGGAAGATAACACCCCGGGCGCCAATTAAGGGACACTTTGCATTAGTAGTGATTTATCACGTTCTACTGCATTTCAAAACTTGTCCTTTGGCACGCACCGTGGTGATGGTAGTACCAAGCCATTGGGAAAGAAAGAAAAAAACGCCAATATATGGGGACAAAAACGTATATGGGGACAAAAACGAGGAATCCCCTTTATTTTTGGGCCTGTTTTGGGGCCGAATTAGGCCCACTTTAGGCGTCGTGCAAAGACGTTGGGAGCGTGTTCTTTCTCCTTTTTCTTTCAGTGTCGTGGCAAGCAACTCTAGAACAGACGTTATCCAAAGTTTTGGTGCCATCGGATTTGGTTCCGTCTCTGGATGTCTTTGGCCCCATTCTCGCCCGAAATCGAGCTAGGAAAAGAAGAAAAAGCGAAAAAAAGTAGGAACAAAAACGATTGATGGAACAGAGGCCCGAGCTCTTAATGAAGTGCCGTGCAGGCCTCAAAACCATTAGACTACATAATCGATTCTGCTTGAGAAAAAAAAATCTTACAGTGATTGAAGGGATTATTAGCGGCAGCCACCACCTGGGCAGAAAAATGACAAAATTCTACATCATCTGGGGCCGAATGAATGTTGTTAGAACGAAGTTCATCACCAAATTGAGCAAACGTGAGCTTCAATGAAAGATGAGCTCCATAGCAACACACACAAAAAAACTAGAACAGCTTTCCGCGGGGTGAGCGGCAAGATTTGGTTTTTGAAAAAAGTGTCCCTTAATACGGGGTGTCCCTTAATAGGTCATTTTACTCTAGTACGGATTGGCAATGCGGGATACAAAAAAAGTGCGGGTGCAACCAAGGTGAACATCAACTGGTTGGGGTATCTAGATGACATACCGTGGAACTAATAGTCGGAGAGATGGCACCCCGTAGTAGCGTTTTCTTGTAGCGTAAATTGTTTCTTCACAAGTAGGAGGGTGCGGACACCAACCGATACCTCTCAGGAAAGCCCTCGACGAGATGTTTCCAAAACTACCCTTTTCGCCAGTGGTACCCCCCTGGTTGTTTGTGGAGAAATACGCTATGCACAAAAAACGCTAACACGGGGGTTGTTGTTGTTGTTGTTGTTGTTGTTGTTGTTGTTGTCTTCACATTAAACCGTATGTCAGTTGCAAAATGCCAAAATCCAGCACAGACTCTCAGCACGTGGTCACGAAAGTGCTAGAGCCATCTGAGGATCTAAAGAACACGCACACATATAACGGGGGTGCCGTCTCTCCGATTCTTACGGTATTCAAGTTGGTTGATACTGCTGCGCTGCTGCTGCTGTAGGGGTAGAATACATGTGGGTGTGCGTGTGGAGGAACTGCTGCTGTAGATGCATCCGAGATGCTGTTGGAGACAAGCCCCTACCGCTGCTCTGTTTCACAATTCACGGAGGTTGTGTTGCGCAACACTTCCCGATTGGTCTGACGTGATCTCGTGTTGTGATCCTGGGTGCTGCTCTCGGTCGTTCTCGAAATCAGTCAAAATCTACATCGATCGGGTATTTTGGAACGATTTGACTCACACGTTGCCCTTCGATTGTGTTCGACTACATCAAATATCTGAACAGCCGGTTTCACAACAATTCTGCATTACAACTCCAGCTCCAGCTCCCCCAAACAGTGCTATCGCAGTTCTGCGATGATGCCTCTTCGTGAACTTCATTGTCGTTCCATTGTGCGGCCCGTGAACACAACAGTCACAAATTTGAACAAACGGTTGCGCGGTACGCCCTTTCCCAGCGCGCGTGCCTCCCTCAAGAGGACAGCAGGAGCAGGGAGAGAACGAGTAAGACAGAGAGAGACGAGAGGGAGAGGGAGAGCAGAAAGGGCTGCTGCAGGAGGAGGAGCATCAAAACAAAGTTGATATCTTCAGACGTCCGTGTGCAGCCGCAGACCTGCCGAAGGGGGCCAATTTTCGCCGGGGTCCAGCCACTGCGCCCGCCGTGACTGCAGCAGGTGTGATCCACAACAAACAGCAACAGGAGCGCGTTGCATCATGTCGCGTTGCCACATGAACGAGGATGATACCTTCTCGGCGACAGTAACCGCGTACTCCAAGGAAATGGAAGCAGCCCTTGGCCAGAGGCGGAAAGGGATGAGCCAGGCCTGGGAAGACGTGGAACGGGGCTGGCACGAGCTCAACCAATGCAGAATCGATGCTGGCATCACCAAACCCTTTGGCTCCCAGGAAGGCATGCTGAGGTTGAACGTGGGTGGCTCGCATTTGAGATTCCGCCGCTGCGTCCTTGATGGCAAGAAAGAACCGTCCGCTACCTGGGCCCTGGGCAACCTGTTCGAAAGCGTGTGGGACGACCGCCTCCCGCGAGACAGCGATGGACGGATCGTGCTGGACAAGTCCCCGGCTTGCGTCAAGGACCTCATTCACTCGCTCATAGAGAGCTCGGGAGCGGCACCGGGCTCCCTGCCCCGCGGTGAGACGTTAGCCCCAGACGAGATGGCGTACCTGCCCCATGTCGCCCGCGCTCTCGGGTTGTCCGCGTACATACCTCTCCAGGGTATGGAAGTAGTAGGCGGGACAACGATCCTCAGCCACTGTGAGGTGGGGGAACTGACGGCAACGCTTCAGGGCTGGTGCCCTGGTAACCCCAACACCATGCAACTGCTCTACCGCGCCTCTCGAGACGACTGGAGTCCGTACCCGTTTCATGCTAGTTGCGGGAACAACAGCCCCAACACGATCACGTTGCTAAGGGTTGGCGCCAGTGCAAGCATCGTTGGCGGCTTCTCGAGCGTGCCTTGGAGTCCTCACGCATACGGTGGGGATTCGGTCATGAGCTCTCTCGGGGCGTTCATATTCATGCTCAAAGATAGTGATATGGGAGGACCCAACAGCTTTCAGCCAGTGAAGTGGAGCAAGAGGGATAACAACGGAGGATACGACGTGGTTGTTGGTGCCAGTCGCGGACCTTTCTTTGGGCGAACCGACTTGGTCGTCAACTTCACCTACGTTCCCGTAACTCTTCAGGCACAGCCGTACAGTTACGACGTCCCGTCAGTCCCAGCGTTCCCTAATCTCAACGGCCAAACTATCACGGAAATCGAGGTATTTCAAGTGTATTCAGCGGCAGCAACTACGTCGTCGCCCACCAAATGCCTCGAGATTCGGGGCCCAGAAGACATTCATGGCGCTGTGAGTACGAGCTCTACGAACACGGCCTCGCGGGAAGCAAACTCCGATGCAGGAACATTTGCAATGCAATCGCCGGCGCCCTCATGGAGGAGCGAATCGCATTGTACCAAGCCGAAGCCGAGCTCGAACATGCACACAGCAAAGCGGCGGTATCCGGCCGCGCGTTGGCTGCGGTGTACGGTCCCGAGGTTGCACGTGGTGCCATCGATACGGTGGTGGAGCTCAGCGTGCGGGGGACCAGAATGACGACCTTACGCTCGACTCTGCGGGCCTGCCGCGAGTCCGCCCTCGCCGCTTTGTTCAACGAGGACAAGTGGCCGGCCACCGACAAGGACGTGGACGAGCAAGGCCGACGTCTGATCAACTGCAGCCCTGCCGTGTTTCAGAAGGTTTTGGACGTGCTGCGCATGAGAAAGCGCGCGGCCTGGGCGGCTTCTGACCGAGAATCGGCACATGTTCGTGTGGACGCAGCTGACCGCCCGGCGTTTGATAGTTTTGTCAACATGTTCTTCCCAGGCTTCGAGAACTTTATCACGGACATGGTCGTTCCTCAAGGGTCTGCCCGGAGCGGCCAGTGCACCTCGTGAGGCGTGGACCGAGGGTGAGATGTTGATATATGTCGGTTGCGCCAGTTTGCAGTGAAATCTTCCTGTAGGGTTAGAGATATCCGAACTCAGGTGGTGTTGGTTTGCGCAAGTAAGATGATGCAATCGCTACCGTCGCCTGCATGAGATTAGCAGTCGCGTTGGACTGTAATCCGCATTGTCTATTACGTGAGTTCGGTGATACGTGCTTTCAAATCCACTCGCTTCTGGCACCCACCGTCACTTGTTTGCTCTCCCCTCTTTTTACCCTTTTGTCAGAGTGTCAAGGGTTGCCCAGACACGCGGCGCTAAGGCGGTTACTTTCTGCAACACCGTAGCTCACACCGGGCTTTATTTGTGTGCGGAGGGGGGGGCGTACCTCTTAGGTTGTGCATGCCTTAGCGGTTAGACCATTGACCACGCGTCCTCGAGAGGACGGAGCATATTTGTGTGCGGGGGAAGGCGAAAAAATGTCTGGCGTGGTGAGGGTTGTTGTTGTGCTCCTGGGCTAGGCTCTGTCTTGTTTGCCATGTATATTTCACAACACGAAGAGTTGGAAACGTGTGTTTGGAACCGGAAACTAGTAGCGTAGATGGGTACATATATCTGTAGTGCAAGCACTGATACCCCTGGTCAGCCCGTGAGCAACTACTGGTGCGTATATTGATGTTGTCCATGGGTCGGGAGTGCGATTTGTTTACGACTTCCTGCCCCGTTCATTGTCGCTCACTGTTCCCATTGATTTTCTTGTGTTTTGTTGTTGATGTACAGGGCAGGGCGTCTCTTTTGTTGATATAGGTTGGCTTTAATCGGGGAGTGGATGACAGCCAAAATGAGAGTACGTGCTTGTTTTGATGGCGTGGGCAGAGCGGGATCCGAAGATCAGAGAAATGAAGTACACCGGGTAGGGTTCAGACGGCCTTTGCATGAATGAGCAAAGCGCCAAACTCTCATCACGAATCTTACCTCTAACTTGAAGTACTGCTGCAGCGCCGCCGCCTCGTCTCTTCGGATGTTGACGCACAAGTTGTAGTGGACGGATGGGAAGATGTTGATCTCTAGGTGCTTGAACACGGACACCTGTAATATTTGAAGGAGTGGTTTTGCCACCCATACAATAGTGAAACAATACGTTCAGCCAAGCGCGATTGGGCATTGACGTGAAACACAGTGGAGCGAGCCAAGACAAAACTCATTCGGCTTCAGTTGGTGCTGACTTGCAGGCCAAAGGGTTGTAGAATTTTCATTCCGGCTGGCACTTGGCACTAGGACACGCTTTTGCGGATGTACGTTGGCCGCATTGTTCCTTGTCAGCACACGCCTTCCTTGTCGCTCTTCGATGCCACAATATCGTGTGATTCGGGTCTGGTCACTCACCTCGGTATTCCCGACGAGGACGGGCGGGCCACCGTCTGCCCTGATAGATATCATAATTTCCTTGGGCTTGTGCGGTCGGGCGGTGCAGCCTGTGGCCGTGCTGCCATCCTCGCTTCCGCAGCATGACCATCTCCCAGCTCGCCTGGGCCAACATGCAAGCGAGAACAACAAGTGAACAGCAGACGGAAATTCATGGGAAAAACGAAGCGACACAGTTGCTGGCTGCGCGGCATCTAAGAATAGGCTGGCACTACCAAGTACTTCGAAAAAACCAAGGCGTTTAGCGCATAACAACTGCTGTCCTGCTTACCCTTGAGGCCTGGTAGCGTGGGTGGCACGGCCGACACCGTCGATCACGAATACGCCGTCTTCACCGTCACCGTCGGAGTGAATTCTGGCAGAGTCAAACCGGTATGCGCACGTCACACACCAAAGCGCGCGGAGGAGCTTTGATCGACCAGTGGTGTGGACTGAGAGATTCCATGGCTGTCCCTACTTTCGAGTTATAACCTTTCGAATTGGTCCGATCGGTTGTGAAATCCGAACTACAACGTAGACTTGCCTTTCAACTCTCTCCCGAAAACCATGTCATTAACAACGTTTGGAACATTTGGACATTTTGTCCTGCTTGCTTTAGCACAACAGTGATTCGGTTTCGCTTCGATTCTGTTCCGCGCAACCAAAAAAATCACGGGTGTGTTCTGTAGGGTACTCACAGACCTGTACCGGGGGTAACTACCCTCTGTAATTACCCTACAGACAAGATATGTATGTTCTGTAACGCCCCGTACAATACAGAATAGTTCTGTGAGGTTCTGTAGAACCCTCGTACAATACAGAATGGTTCTGTGGGTTCTGTGACACCTCCCGTACCCTACAGAATAGTTCTGTGAAAAAAATATACGCACAATTTTCAAAAGTGATCGTGACTGTGACGTTGAAACCGTGCGTAGCTCGGGATGAATATCGGATACGAGTTGAGTGTCATGGTCGTACCTTGAAAAATGTACGGTGACAAGCGTATTGTAGATTAATAACCTGGAAAGGCGATTTGATCAAATGAATAGAACTTCCGTAATCACCAAGGGGGTTGAATGCTCTCGAGTTTGACCACCACGATTTGGTAGTTATTTCGTGTCACGATAGACTTGAGACTTTTTCATATCTTCTCTAACCCTGCTCCACGCTGTTTGCTATAAACGTGAAGACCAGACCCATTGACAGCGGGTCAGGGTCGTGTAGTCACCCCGGTGCATCACCCCGGTGCCATCAATGGTTGGTGCCCCAACACGTCCCTTCAAAGGACACGGCCACCGACGTACATTCACCCGAACCACTACTCATTCGGAAGAAAGTAGTCAGCTAGCATACGTGCGAGAGCAACGTATGAACCCTTACCTTCTATACTGTACCGTTCAGAGCCTAAACGAACACTCTTCATTCGAACCTGCAAGAATCCCACGCATTTTCCTCTGGAATGAACCTCTGCTTGCAAGAGGTGCAGACAGAGGTTGTCGACGGCATGCTCGAATCTTGTAGCAGAGTGGGCGAAAGCACCGACCGCGAATCGTACTTCACCCTCCCCTCCCTCCCGACGCCGATCCAGCTACTGTCACCACCACTTGAGACAGACGTTGTATGTCTTGAAGGCGAAGGGGGCATCACCGCCGTCGCAGATACCGGAGAGGAAGAGACGCTTTGGCTCCGGCTGGCTTTGCCTTTTCTCGTCTGCTCTCCGCCTCCTCCGCCCCGTGCTCCGCTTTTTGTCGCCCCGACCGGGGCAAGGCTTCGCACCCAAAGGCGCTCAATCTGAAACATGACGTTTTGTATGACGACCCCAGACTAACGGACACCGGAGGGGCGGGTGGAAAGGGGTCGGTGCGAGAAGCGAAGAGCGGTGAAGAGGGGACTTCGCCGAGGTCCATGTCCATGTGTTACTCTCTCGATCACTGATGGTCTGGACACAATTCTCGCGTACTCCTCGAGTAAAAAATTGAATAGTCCTCGTGGCCGACGGTTTACAGGTCTTGCAGACTCCAAAAGCCAAGCATTATCATTCATCACATTCTTGTCACCAAGGCGCACTTATGAAAATAGATTGGCGCAAGGTGAAGTAGGTTGTGAGCCGGTGCAACGGTTGGCTCGTCCGGGTCTCGCGGTCCGAGCCCGAATCCGATTCTCCGCTCCACGCCGGCTAGTTCACGCCTGTAGGCTTTTCACCTCCCCCCGCCCCTTCACAACCATCGGCCTGGGTGTTCGATTCCCGGCCCTCATACGATGTGGTTCAACCTCTCTCAGCTTTGTATTTCTGCTCTGCCTATTCCAGCACGCATTCATACGTATGCCGCCAACGTCTTACCCCTTGTCCGCCTTGCGCGAGGTAATTGTGTGTGGATGATAGGCCTGTCAGCCCCACTTCCATCAGATCCGAGTGACGACCCGCCTGCGTTTCATCATCAGCATTCCTCAATCAATCGTCATTGCGCACAACCCTTTTAATATAGTGGCTGCTTGGGCGTCACCGTTGTACTGGCTCGATATTCTTATCGTTGTATTCATACATCACCACAACCACGCGAACGGAATCATGTCCATCAGAAGTCGCAAGTCCTGAGGCGATCGACAAACTTCAGTGCTAAAATCCCACTTTGCCGAGCAATCCTGACCCCTCCTCACTTTCTGGTCCGTCTTCGGCCCCATGGTCAGCCTCCATGTGCACTTCCCGATCCTGTATTCGAGGCGGGTGAGCTCCCGCGGTGTTCCTTTCGCTGCTGACCCTGCCGTCGATGTCGGTTTCCGTCCTCCTGCCTCCCCGACCCCTCCCGTCCGTATTCGAGGCGGCGTCACGGGGCACGACACATTCGCTGTAGCTGTTGTTGGGTTTGTTTCCGGTCGTGGTGTTGATGCAGGTTCCGCTGTTGCGGTGGGTGTCGGGTCTCCGACTGTTGATGAAGTAGCAACGGCTGCGGCCATGGGCGAGGTACAGCCGGAGGAGGCCTGGGGGGGGATGGACCCTCCTTCTCCCCGCGTTCTGCCGGTGTTCATAAATTTGAGATTTTGAGTGGCGTTGATGTCCGTGTTGTTGCTATTGCTGCGGGCCCAAGACCTGAGAGTCTCCTCCACAACATCCTTGAGGTAGCTCCTGCGATGTTTTAGACCGGAATTCGATGCGCAAGGGAGAAGGGCGACCGTCCGGCAAGGTTACAGGATTCGACCTAGCTTGGGGGTGAAAGAGATGAGAGTAAGGTCGATGGTGTGAAACGGTGGGTAGCGACAGGGTACTTCCTGTTTATTGGAAACTCCCCTTCAACTCCCCTCTTTCACCTAACACACATCTAGCTTGGAACCGTTAACCATGTACCAGGTTTGTTCCATGTTAATCCACCTCATGACAGGCGGGCAGTCAATGCCCCCTCGGAAAATTGCTACCCCTGGGGGTGCTAATTCGAAGACTTTTCTGTAGCTGGATCCATGTTAGCGAACGCGCGGGGGGCCGTATCTACCGGCATGACCACGACACTATTGCAACTGACCGGCGCTTGTCGCCGCTGTTGATGTTGATGTTGAGGCCGCCTTTGTTGCCCTCTGCGGTGAGGTTCACGGTTTCGCCTAACACCTTGTTTTCA